CACAAAAAAACCTGCAAAACCGATAAAAAAGGTGCCAAAACCAGCAAGAAAAAAAAGCGTTGAAAACGAAGGCAGTCATTGACGATGACGACGACGACGATGAGGATGATAAAACAACAACTTTAAGTCCAACGGCTACCAATAATACGAATGATACGGGAATGCTCAAAAGTCTTTTACGTCTGCTTCGTTTAAAACGAGCAGCTAATGGAAAGAAAGATTCCAAAGGTCAGTAGAATACGATGATGGTGTTCGATAAAATCTAAATCGACTATAGGTCTTTTCAGAGTTGGAACCTAACCGGGCGGTTACCGGTCCGATCCGATTGAATTTTCAGACCGACTGACTTTTTGCCGGTTTGGAAGCATTTTCTCAGCCAGCCGGTTTTTGCTAAAAACGGTCTTTCCAAAAGAAACGATTGTGTTGTTTGTAATAATGATCTCCTAATTACACACGTGCAGAGAGTGAATCCTAGACTATAGACCGTATTTTAAAACCTAATTTTTTTCTCTAAAATCTCTCCTTTTTTATACTAACTCCCTGCGTTACTACATGATTATTGCTTCCTTTTTAAACTGTTTTGTCGATATCTCCTAAAACTTCTAAGTAGGTGAAGGTTTATTTAATTTTCGTGTAGACACAATTATTCAGATCAATCAGATTTTCATGAGAAACACAATCATTAAATATTATTTATTTTTAATAGTGGTATTTCAATGTTTGTGATTAATTTCTCTTATCTAAAAGATAAACTAGATTCTTCGATGCTTTGGTAAAAAAGAACGATATTTAATCAAATCAGGTTTTCACCTGTTGAAAAAACTTTCTAAATGGGCGAAAAACCGGCTGGTTCGGTCCGGTTGAAAGTCTTTCAATCGGTTCCAACTCTGAGTCTTTTCATCATTAAGAAGATAAATGATCAATTTTTGTTTTTCAAATCTGCATATCACGAATAAAGGTTCGGTGTCAAAGTTGCTTGTATTATACGCTATATTGTATCAATAAACCGAAAACGTAGCGCGCTATTTGTAATTTCAGGAAAGACTACAGATGAGGATGAAGATGACGACGATACCAAAACAACAGCAGCCACCGGTACATACGATTTTTTTAATATTATATATATATATATATTTCTATTTATTTGATATCTTTTTTCATTCAGATAGTAATGATGATAAAGAAACAACAGCGAAAGCAGCTGATGACGGTATAGACCATCATTTCTGGAATAATAACAGTTCGAATTTAACTTTCATGACTTTATTAGGGGATAATGACGATCAGACAACTGTGAGTGTTACAACAGCAGCAAGTGAAGATGACAATGGTAAATAATCATATATTTTAATATCATTCCTTGTTTTATATCACTTCTGCTCTAGAAGATGATGATTCGGAAAAAAAATCAGCAAGTAAAACAACAGCAACAGACGATGACGAAGAACATGGCGAATCGGATGACGATAATGAACATGAACATGTTCGAAAATATGACATTAACTCCAATTCTCCATTAACAATAGAAAATGGTCGTGGTTTTAGTTTAAGTATCAATCTAAAATTTCGTAAAACGGGTTTAAATAAAAAATGTGTAGAAAAACTACGAGAGTTATTCCGTCGCCAACGTAAATGGTCATCGGATGACTGTGTACCGATAAGTGAACGTTTTGAAGATTGTTTGTCAAATATATTTACTATTAGTGATCAATTATCGACAAATTCCTCAAATGCAACAGATTCATCTATCTCTTCCCTCTTACTTCATTTTCCACAGCAATCACAACTCTACTGTTCCGATACATCAGGTGATGATAAACTAGTTGGTATTCATCATCAAACAAGAATATGTTTAGCAGCACAAAACAAACAAAAACATAAAACACCCCATATTATCTATGAATTTGATGATCTTATTGGTTTATCCGCTCAAAATTCGGTAAATAAAATAAGAAATTATATACATGCGAAAAAAGGATTGAAAGACGCATATGCTCAAGATTGTGAACAAATTCATCATGAAGAAGAAGCAAAAGATGAAGATGATGATGATGATGACATAATAGTATCTTAAAGAAGATAATAACTTTGTCTAAATAAATTAGATAGCTATATGTTGAACCTATCATAGATTTTTTTATTGTATTTTTATTAGTCAAGCGCAGTTGTGTGTGTCAGATCCAATTTGGCTTATTTGTTGTAAACAATTTTGTCCATTTGAGATTCGTTATTTCAAAATAAAATCTTTTCACAATATAATGATATTTGTATCTACAAAACTTATTTTTCATGACATTCTATACAAAAACACAAAATCTGTACACTGTTGAGACCGACATTACTATATGTTCTGTCCTGTTAATATATTCATATTTTCTTAACTTGGTATGTATTAATATGTGGCTTGGTATGTATTAATATGTGATATTATGTATTGAATATATTGAATGTCTAGTGTGATCAAGATTGTCATGAAAGCTCAGTTGTTATTGGAGAAGTAGTATAGCAGGCAAGGAAGAAGAGCTAGAAATATTTCTGATATTTTCTTATAAAAAAGAATTCTTTATGTTTAAGTCAGATTTGACACTGTATTGCGCAAAATGTTTATTTCTATATAAAAAAGAGGCATTTATCTATTCATTAATTTTAATACGAAAACTTTTTTTTTGTAAAGTGGTTATGTTACACTTCGTTCGATGTGCTAATCACAAATATCAGATTTGTTTTACTAAAAAGTATAATGAATGAAACGGATTATAACTGAAAAATCAGGACTTTTTGAAAACTGTATACTGAAGTATAGGAAAGATGGTGGGTTTATAGAATAGAAACTCTATCGAATGCATATTTTTGTATTATTTTAAATTTTGCTAAATTTTGAAGAAGACCACGTATCTGAAAAGCATATAATTGTAAAGTAGGCAGTCAACGTTTCCAAATGGTCTATGAACTATTTGTTATATATGTAGAATCTAAGAAAAATTTGAATTGCATTTGAAAAACTGTTTCAGCAGTCTTACATATGAAAAAGAAGTCCTTACCATAAGCAGATAATTACAATTCTGATTGTAAACATTTTTTTTACAGGAAAGACCATTCTTGGTTAGATGTTATCATGATTCCCGAATACTTAAATCATATTGAAGCTGGTCTGTAGAATGTATGAAAAAACTCGTGTTATTTATGTTAGACGTTTTTTGTTTTGTTTTTAGCTTTATATTTATGGAGCGCTGTTTGGTATATCAAAGAAGACACAATTGACGATTATTACACGTTAGCTGTACATAAAATAGAAATAGTTGCTGCTTTCGTTGAATTAGTCGCGTCTTTTGGATGGTAAGTGAGTTGATAGATAAATGAGAAGAGATCATTTTTTAAGTGTCTGTATTTTTGAGGATTATGTCATGGTATCGGACTTATACACGTACGTTAGGTCGTGGTTATACGTTAGATGATCCAGATACCAGTGCTTATCTTTACTACCGACATTACTATATGTTCTGTCCTGTTAATATATTCATAT